TTATTCTATCCATAATAACTCAGAGATATAAAAATTAGATAGATAAGTAGAAATTTGCAAACAAATGCCAATTAATGAAATTATTTTCCTATTCAATAGTTATGAAGAAACCATTTTATGTGGAAGCAAGCCACCACTTTTAAGTTTTTAAAAATAAAGGAAAAGTCAAATCAGCAAAAACAAAATTCTTCGGGATCATATATTTAGGCCATAATGCAAAAAGTATGGGCAGGAATTTATAGCTACAAGGAAATAGGAAGTTAAATATGTATAAGTTCATTTGTAAGTACTATGAGTGATGAGTTTGAATAGAAAAACAGAGTTTGAAGTAGAACAGAATCAAAGGACTTACTCCAAACGTCGGTGGACAAACGTAAGCAATGGGAGATCTGCCTCATCTGTTAGTAGCCTATATGCTATAACCCTGTCACAATCTCTGATTAAGGATATTGCCAAAGTATCATCCAGGTGAAGAACTTGATCTGCATATACCTGCAGAAAGCTCCAATATCAACCTACATACTTTGTAAGAAAATACGTAGCTAACTACTTAGGGCCAGTTTGATATTGCTTTTTTTAGAGTGCTTCTGCATATTTGTTTTTCCAAGTAGTCAATACTATTGTTTGGTAAAAGCTTTTTTGGCATGCTTACTAAAACTACTTATGCTTTTAAGAAGGTGCTTTTAGAAGCAATCTAAATATGCTTTTAAAAGTATCTTCTGTTTTTTTTAGTTTATATACCACACATATCTTTTCTTTTAACAATGACCATTAAGCAAGCACAGTTATACCAAACACCATAACTGCTTTTTAAACATTTTTTTTATATTTTATTATCAAATAGCTAATTTCAACAGCTTATACTTCTATAAGTTGCTTTTATAAGGAGCTTATTGTAAGCACCAACAATACTAAATTTGCCCTTAATATATCTAAAAGAAGTAAATTACATGCATTGCAACAACATACCTTAACAACATACAAGGTCTCGTTGTCCTTCAAAAAACAAGTGTAGCCCAAAGCCTGTATAAGATCCTTGCAGTTTCCATCTTCGGGTAGGTTTACAGTATACAACACAGGACCAGAAGTATCACCACTGAAGACTGTAATACTCATTGTTCTTAAAGCAATAGATGGTACCGGCAGAGATAAGTATGTAAACAAGTCGAATGTGACTGAGCAAGTCGCACACTCTGGACAAGTTACTGTCGACTTGTACCCCCCCCCTGTAGTCAACCAATATACTCTAGATATTATTTTTATGAAGTTTGATTTAAAATCAATTTCAAGAAAATACAAAAAACTGAATGAGAAAAACAAGAAAATAATGTAACATCTAGGGTCCAAAAAATTTAAATTCCTTAATTACTAGGAATGATCAATTTGAAGAACAAGATTATATTGATGAAGTTCCCAATTGAAAAGATAATAAGAAATTTTAGCATTTAAGTGCTCTTGTTTCATCAATAATACAAGAAATGCCTCGTGTTAATGCATATTTTTAATTAATCATGTTGCTTTAGTAAAATGCTGCAGAAAATTAATTTAAAAGTTCTATGTGGATTTCTTGTATCATATTGGATGACTCTTGAATAACCCACCCAATAGGTAAATTTCTAGAGTATTTTAACAACATAAAATGATAAAATGGAAACAACCACAAAATTAGTAGTTTGTCATATATTTAAGAGAATTTAAGGAGTTATATACAAACTTGAATTACGACAAGTCAAAGTTTTCTCTTAAAGAAAGACGAGTTATTACTGGTCACTATATTTCTCTCGTAGTTGGGCATGTATATCCATATTTTAATTGCTTGGATGACCGCTCATGAAATTAAATACTATCTGGATTACTTGTCACTTCTAATGCTTTTTATTAATTTAGATTGTATATTTTCATTCAGTTTAAGAAATAGAACTTACTAGAAATCTCACAAATCAGTATTTACAAGAATAAAATGTCAAATGCAATATAATTATCCAATATAAGTTGCTCGATATGTCAAAATTTTCACATTTGATTAGGGTATCCACTGCTAGTTGCTCTTTTCTTTCTAGGGTTACATTTGCATATAGTTAGTAAGGATCACCAAAGTGATTTGAACCTAGCATTTGTACATTCACTTAAAATATTTTGGCAGGCAAACCCAATAAATAAGATAAGGTGAGGGATATCATCACCCGTTATTTAGTCCAAAAATCACTTAATCACTTATCTTATATAAGCAAACCTTAAAATTTATTAGATATCGGCATCTAAAGATTCCAGCTCAATAGGGGATTAGAGATCTGAAGGGGTGAACTTGCTCTAAGGTTGGTTGATTCGGTTGGTGTGTAAGGAAAGAAGTCAGAGTGAGCTACCTCCAAGCTTGAAAGACGGCTTATTTACTGCAAAAACTCATACTCTCACACCACTTACCCGTTTCACACCGATCTAGAAAAGAAAGCAGCTTTGATAGAAGCAGAGGAATACCTATAGATTCCTGGAAAAATCCTAGATAGCTCGGGAAAGACCTTTCAATTGCAGAAAAAATAAAAAACTTGATAATCAGATGGTCTAGAGTTAGAATATGGGGATAATATCCAATTGCCTCGAAAAGAAGATCAAGGGGTAAAAATAGCTACTAGTTCGCTAGCTTTCCATCCATATATCCATATTATATCTCTAGAATGAAAAAAACCACTCGCAAGTCCTCGCAAGAAATGAGGTTACTTAATTGGTTTCTGAGTTACACTCTGTAGGCACCCACTCCGTACTTACTCTTATCTAGTCAATTGGTCAATTAATCTAATGTATGTTATGGTCTGAAGGAACGATTGGTTAGGAGTCGTCTAGTGATTTACATTTGGCGAAGAGGACCATAACTTGATTGAAGTGGTTGCTCCTTTACATTGTTTCTCCTTTTTTTTAATAGATCTTTTTCTTAGATCTTTATAAACAACCTTAAGAAAAAGGGAAAAAGGAGAGTTTCATTGGTGCATGCAATATCCCTTTTGCTCTTAGAAAAAGAACCAAGAAATGATTGTATAACATACCCGGAGACACCATGGAGGGAATTTGTTAAGACTTTCCTTTGAAAAAAAAATCCTATCAATAAAACAACACGCCTTATGAACCAAATATTATAGTTCAGACAAATTAGTGTCGAACCATTCTGGAAGTATTTTGATAGATTCAAAAATCTTCCAGTCAAGTGTCCTCATCATTCATTAGAGAAATTGAGGATGTTCTAATCAGGGTTGGGGATTTCATCTTTCCAGTTGACTTTTTTTATATTAAGCAACCAACCTGTTCTAAATCACAAGGATCGGATTACAGTCATCCTAGGCGACCATTCTTACCTACAACTAATGCATTGATCAAGTATAGGACCGGTCCAATGAAACTGTAATCCAGAAACATGAATGTAGACTTGAACATCTTCAATCTAGGAAAATAACCTAGTGATCCAGCTAACCAACCCCTGGAACTTGATCTGATCTAGGGAACACCTAGTGAATATTTTTAGGAAGAATGCACTGAGTTAGACCTAAGTTTAACCGATCTTAGCTTTGACTAAATCTTTGATGAAGAACTTAGGCTCCTACAACAATCAGTAGATCATGTCTCAACCTTGAGATAGCAAACTGAACCTGAACAACTTAGTCTAGAACCTCGAACCCAACTACGTCCACTCAAACCTCTAGCAAAAAATCTCGACAATGCCAATTATGTGAAAATGAAACTACGGGGTTAAAAATGTCCATCTCTGCATATGATGTGAAACATGCACATAATTCACCATTGAGAAGAGTTTTTATTAATTGTGGATTTATGGCTTCCAATAAATTTATTTCGTTTCAAATTATTCTGGGGTACTTGGCTTAACCAAAGGCATACCCCCATTTTACATTTGGTTTCTTTTGTCGGTTTAGAGACCAGACAACCTATCTTGATTTTAGCCACTTTTTGTGATTTTTCCAGTTTAGAGACATAAAAGTCGAGTTTGATTTGTGTCTTTCGAGTAGAGGACTTTCTCATTAGAAAAAAGTTTATTTGGATTTTTGTAACGAGGAGAGGGCTTTCCTGCTCTATATATATTGATTTAGAATTCTCTAATGAGTAGAGGACTTTCTCATTAGATGAAGTTGAATTTCTAATGAGTAGAGGACTTCCTCAATAGATGGATTTCAATGGATTTTTGATAAATGGAGGACTTTTCTATTAAGAATGGAATTTTAGGCCTTTTGACAAGTAGAGGACTTTCTTATTAAAGTATAAGATTTTATAGTCTTCTGATTAGGAGATGACTTTCTAAACAGATGGTAGTTTAAATTTGAAATTTCAATTTAGTGGCATAATGGTCGAATTTGATGTTTTACAGTTCTGGTATGTGGAGGTGAAGTTTAGAATTTGATCTAGATTAACGATATAGAGGTCAAATTTGCTATTTGGTTCAGTTTAGTGATGTAGAGTACGAGTTTGGTTTTTAGGATTCCAGATTAGTGACATGCAGGTCAGATTTTAGTTGGCTTAGTTTAATGACATAGAGGCCAAATTTGGAATTTTTCAATTTAACGACGGAGATATCGAATTTGGTTTTTGACCCAGTTTAGGGACGTAGAGGTCAAATTTGATTTGTTGTTCAGATTTTATATCTATTTATCTAGTTTAATGACTTAGAGGATAGCAAAATTGAACCTTTTGATTTTGATTGTGTACAAGTTTTTGCGTAGTATATATCGCGTGATGCACTTCTTTTACATCACATTTTATCCCATGTGTTTTCTTTCTACACCAGATTTTTATCTAGTTTAGGGACGTAGAGGTCTGTAGCTTCTCTTGAGCATATTTTTGCAATTTTTGCATCATCTTGTAACTTCTGTAGATTCTGAGAGCTATCTTATGATCTCTATAGCGGTTTAGGGGCATTTTTGAAATTCTGCACATCTCAGGACATTTTTGAAAATTCTACATAGCTAGGACCTTTTCTTGATGGGT